ATAGATAGATAGATAGATAGATAGATAGATAGATAGATAGATAGATAGATAGATAGATAGACAGATAGATAGACAGATTGAAAAGCAACAAAATCATATCAAATCCTAAGTATTTAGGTCTTTTTCCCTGGACTTGAAACTTAGTCTCCTAGTATACACTGCATTTCAACCCAGAGTTCTCTCTCATGGTGCAAATTACAAGGCTCAAATTATCCTACTTTAGGCACACTATGTGAATACCTAGCTTTCTGGAGAAGTCTACAATGCTGGGAATGGTGAAAGAGAAGAAGACAACAACTAGAAGCAAGATGGATGGACTCAATTATAGTGGCAATGAGTACACCACTGGAAGACCTGAAGGACTAGGTTAGGGGACAAATCATCATGGAGAAAATCTATTTATGTGGTCGCTAAGACTTGGCACCAACTTCATGGCACATAATCAATCACACACTCATTATTAAAAAAAAAAAAAAAAGACCATCCAAAGTACGGTAAACTGAGGAATCAACCATCTCAAGATACCAGGTTATGGAAACCAGGCTTAATAACTAGACTGGAACAATCCTATCTCCTGAGAAGTTGTGAAGAAGGAACTACACTCTCTCAACCCTTGCAGTGCAGAACACTCACATGTTTTCACACTGTATCTGATAACATCCCGACAGCGTTCCAGCAACTTTTCATGTGGCTCCCCACTGTCTTTTAGATCCAGGTCCAGAATTTGTTGCAGTTCCTCAGGTTCCTTCCAAATACACACCTACCAGCAAGATAGTCAGCTCATGTCTGAAAGGCCATAGGAGGTTGTATACAAGCTGAAAATCTAACATCGCAATCCTATATCTAGGTTATGCCTCCTGGATGACGAGGGGTTGCTACAAAATCCTATATCAACACAAGTCCAAATTCTGCTGCCTGAGTATATTGTAATGATGCTACTATATTATCAGAACTTTAAGTCAGATTTCCCAAACTGGAGCCCTCCCAATGTTTTGTGACTATAAATTCCTGAGATTTCCAGCCAGTGCTCCTGATTGGCTGGGACTCTGGGATTTATAGTCTCAACACTTCTTGGAGATACTGGGTGGGGAAAAGTTGCCATACTATAGTATTAAATACAGTGGTAAACTGGGTGTTGGGAGGGGGACTGAAAGAAATGGAGAAAAGAGTGGATTATACCTGACCTAGTTAATGTAAACCAGCTAGGATTAGGAAATGGTGATTTTTCTGCCACAGGATTATTTTGTTAGCTTGTAAGTAAAATTCAGTTTGGGTACCTGGCCCAGGCCATTGTTGAAGTATATAGATTGGACATCCCGGCCCAAGGAAACATGGAATGGCAATTCTTAAAACTATTGGGGAAATAAGCTCTGAAAACCTTACCTTTTCAGAGGTATCCATCCCTTTTCGAATTCCTTCTTCAAGCATGATCTGGAAGGCTTCCTGCAGGAACGTCTCACCAGCTACCTGATCCAAGCCAGGAGATGACAAAGTATCTTCTGCCGCCATTGTCAAAGAGATCTTCTCCTACAACAGACCAGGCAACATGATATGGATTAAAATAAGCCCCTGAAGGCAGATCCACTAAGATGTTTCCATGCTGGCATGGTACATGTCTCCAGAGAAAGAATGTTACAGAACACAAACAGACATTGTAACCAGGATTGTATCCAGGACTGGGATCCAACTGTAGCTTCAATGAACTTTTTACTTTAGTGACAACGGCAAAGGCATCAATTCATACTGCGTAGGAGGCGGCAATGGTGAACCACTCCCATATTTTTACCAAAAAAACCACATGGATAGAAAACATAAAATGATTGAGAAGACCTGAAAGGCCAGGTTAGGAACAGATCATTATGCAGAAAATCCATCTGTGTGGTCGCTGAGAGTTGATGACTTCATGGCTCATAATCAGTCAAGTCAATGTTTGGCACTGAGGCCCTCATAGGACAACAGGGATAAACAGGGCAGCCACTAGATAGAAATATGCACTCATGATTGAACAAAGGTATATACAGAGAGCCATTCCTATCCATGCATATTAATTAGGCTCACACATTGTGATAAGCCATGTTTAATTGAATCATGGTTTATTGAATAAATTACCATGGCTGGTTTTGCAGATCATGCAGAGTCAATCACATATCAGACATTCATGGATACATTCAGTTATACATTTATACATATAAAGGACACTTTTCCCCCATTTTAAGTCTGTCTCCATTAGCAAGGGGATACAATAACCCAAAACACTGGATAACATTAGAAATTCTATGCTAAACCAAATTCCATACTCCATTTAAAGTATGGGCACTAAGGAGATTTGCATAAATGCTATCTTACCTTACTGCTTTAGAGGGTAGAGGGCAGACAAAAGCTATATAAAGCACAGTGGATACAGGTAAAAAACATTATTCTATTACCTGTTTACAATTAATACTAAATTTGTGTCAAATTACAGTATTTACAGTAATATAGTTCTAATTTAATTGTAATTTTTCTGATTAAACAAATACATTTCTAACTACTTCTGCAGACTTACCATTTTTCAATATTCTCACAGCATTTATGACTTCCTTTTCATCATTTTTTCCCTTGGACACCACGTTTCAATCTACCCTTCAACGTATCACTATCTTTCCCCTACAAATCTCAAAAACAATCCTTTGGGCACTCTCTCGTGTCAATTTCATCCCAAATAATTTCATCTGACTTTTTCACTCTGCTGGAAACTAGAAGTGGGACATTCATCAGAACGGGCAGTATAGAAAAGCTATTACTTTGATGCATTCTGTTGTATTTCTCCTGAACAGACAACCAGCCTTCTATGCCCTCTGAGCATGTCGTGCCCCTCGACATTTGTGTGCGTGGGTGTAAGATTTATTAGTCCTTCCACAAATCTTATGGTTCTCCTAAAACTCCTGATAACTCCTTCTTATGTAGGTTGATACCATTTTGGCTACAATATCAAGGGGTGTCTGCTTCTCTTTAGATACTGTAGCCAAAATGGTATCAACCTACCAGTTTGTTAACAGAGGAGATGATATTGTTAAAGAATCGCCTAGATTGCGCTACTGCAAAGAGGATCTATTACTCTACAGGCAAGCAAATCAGCACAGCCCTTTCCCTCCCGCTTCAACATTCCCCTTTCCCACAACTTTGAAAACTCAACCTACCAGCCTTGAAAGTTTAAAAATTGCAAACTCAAGATTTCAGAGTGACAAAGCTCCAGGAAAGTTCCAGTTTGCTAGCACGAGCATCTATAGCACAACTGCAGACACTTCACCTTCTCTTGGTGAATGAGAGTCAGGTGCGCTGCCTCTCTCTCTCTCTCTCTCTCTCACCCTCCCAGGAAGACTTCGCTCTTCCTACAGGTGAATTATTTCCACAGGGAGAGCATGAGCTCCCACTTCTTCAGATGGTCACCGCTTCTGCCAGCTCTATTTTCAGCACAGGAAACTCTTTTCAGCCTGCACCAAAACTATTTTGTAGGAGTTTTACTGTCCACATTAGAGGAAGGAACGAACATAATGCCCAATTGCTATGGTTACCTGCCCAATCCTCTACAGATCTCGTTTTCAGGGACAAAGTACAAAGGGAGTGACCACATAGCCAGCAAGTATAATGATATCCTGTGGGAGTTAAAATATTTGCAAACACTGCCCTCCTGATTGCATGCTACAAAAGTCTTTTTCCCCCCATAGTTGTTTTAGCCTTAAAAAATACAAGATTGGGGGGGGGGTACTTTGGGAAGCCAAAAGATACCTTTATATTTATTTGTACCAAAAAATAATACCAAAAAATTGTATTCCAGTGGTTGCACATTTCTACTGCTCCTAAATAAAATATATGGATTATATATGTGCATACACACAGAAGCACAAAGAGTCATTTGGAGACCTAAATTTGCATGCAGGAACTATAGTGAGTGCAGTTAGAAACACATGCATGCACACAGACACACAGATCCAAAGAACTTCTTTCTCACCTCCAGCAATAAAACATTGTCCAGATGTAAGTTCCCCTGCTGGTTCTGGAAAATGTTTGCATATTCTGTGTCAGTGAACAAAGGGAATTACAAGCCTAGCAATTCTGCTCCTCTGGTTTGACATACTCATGATGGGTATAGCTGAAATCTGCATCATCCAGTCACCAGATTATTTACTGATTTGTTTGCTCATTAATTTGACTATTCAAGGCTATTCCTCCCTCATAATTGGCCTTGCCTGATAGAATTTTCAGGCTATCAGAAGCGCTGTAATTCCCCCTTTCCTGCCTTAAGACAAAGGGTACTCAGTGGCAAATCTCCACAAAAGAGAGGTCCAACAATTCCCCAATTCCTGGTCATGAAAAGGTGTAATTCCTACAGTAGCTGAACTGATCATGATTCTAGTCCATACTTAAGTGTGTCTCCTTTGTTCACAAAAGAAATCCTCACATTCCACAACCTCATAGTTTGAGGGTTCAGCTAGACATGATGCAGGAGGGATAGGAGAAGCAAGTTTGACACTGTCCTTCACTAGTGGGGTATCAAACCTCCTTTTTCCAAGGAAGAAAGCTCCAAATGGGTGCTTTCTTTTTAAATATTTAGCGATAAGCCAAGTAAAGCTGTTCATTTCTACGTGCACTTGGTGTATGCAGTCAAAGCCTAAAGACAGTTACTCAGAATTAAGGCCCACTGAGCTCAAAAAAATCTTACTTTCCAATAACTGCACTCTGAAGTAGACCCTTGTTTGGGTTTTTTTGACCTCTTCTTTGAATGGTTTGCTTTGGGCTTTTTCTTCCACCACTGTTAAATATTACTATGCATATTTTTTGTCATCTTATCATGTTTTCAACATTGTTGGGAAAAGCAGGATGAGTGAGTGCACAGTGAGATAAGTGTGTCCTCAAATGCATCCTCTTGCACTGCGGGGGAAGATAAGTAGGAATGGAGACTCTGTCTTTCAGGTGTGTCCTCTGCCACACAGAACCCCCCACTGACCTCTTAGGAAGCCTTCAAACAACTGTTCTTCTGTGAAATAGCGAAATAAACTGGACTGAACTATTATTTTTTCAAAACCCTTCTACACAATCAACTTTGTGTCTCGTAGCACAGGTTGTCCTCAGCTTTATCTGACTTGCAAAGCCATAAAAGCACTTATTTTTCACTGTTGCTGTTGCCACCTACCTGGTCAAGCACAATATCAAACTCAGTAGCAAATCTTTCCCCTCAAAAGGCCTTTCTCCATGTCTAACTCAAAGTGCTACCCACCAGCCCTCGAACCAGCAGAACTTTACAATATCCCTGCAGGAAAATGGCGTCCCCCATTGCTGATCTCCATCCCCGTCCACAGGGACAGTATGGCCAACTGGTGATGTCCGTATTTTCTGTAGGCAGAGCATACCAAGGAAAGGAATTGGTGGAGTCCGTTGGCTTCATTTCCCTCCCCTTCCACCAAACATCAACAAATGGCATGAAAACTTCAAAAGAGGGGTAAACCCGTGTTCACTGACAATTGACAAATGGGGGGCAGGCAGGGGGGACCATTGTACTATGCAGAAGTTTCCTGCCTGCCCCCCTCCCATCAGCTCTTAGCTATTAATCTGCCAGCTGTTAGTTGGGCTGACTGATCCCTCTTTCAAAGGCAGGCCTCTGATCTGGAGATTGGTTCAGAGACTGGGCAAGAGTCACACGTGTGAGATGGGTGGCTATACAAATTGAATAAATAAATATAAACAGATAGTTTGAAAGATCCCAGCTGTGCCGAAGTCGGGCTGATCCAATTCTTGGTGAAGCACATCAGCTGATAGCCACAGTGAAACTGCTGCCCCTTTTTGCCTGTTGAAGAGGAAAACACAACTTGAACCCAGAAACAGCTGAAGAGAGAAGGTTAAGCTGATTTAACAGCAGTTTAATCTGTATTTATGTTGATAACTTCTTCCTGCATGTCAAAATAAAGCAAGTTGTGCCAGGTTCTCCCCGCCACTGTGGCTCTTAGCAGTTTGAACAGTAAAGCTAAATTATGAAGTGTGATAATAATTGGAAAAATACCGATGTTACAGGAAAATGTAGAGAGCCAGTTTGGTCTAGTGGTTAGGCTAGAAAGCAGGAGATGGTGAGTTCCAGTCCCACCTTAGGACTTAGAGAGCAAACCCCACTCCATTCTAGCACTGAAGATGTTACCTAGCAGGTAACGGAACGTTTGCAAGAAAACCACCAACCCCAAGGACCCCACAAAATAGGAGGAGGAAGGAGTATTAGGTATGTTTGCTGCCTTGAGTTATTTATAAAAATAATAAAGGTGGGATAAAAAAAATCTTTTAAAAAATGTCTACCATTAAATGCCACTCACTTAATATAATCAAATGTTCATCTGTGGAACATGTTAAGCAACGATTAACTGATGATAAAAGAAAAGAGGGCTATTATGTTTATGTACAGCCCAATTTTCTAGGCCAGGGGCTCCCAAATTGGGAGGAATGCCCCGCAGGAGGTCATGAAGAAATTTAGGGGATCATGATGAAATTCCAAGGGGTGGGACAGGATGGATGGATAGATGGATAGATAGATGGATAGCTTTTTGATGTGAAGGTGTGCATAATCAGCCAGTGGAAAAACCACAGTATATTATAAAAAATCTAGTTTCGAAAGTGGGAAGCCTTTGATAACATTGATCGTGGCACATACATATGCTTACATACATACGTACATACATACATCTTTATTATGGTCTTTGACCAGCATTACAAGTAAAAAGAAGGAAATTATTACAAGAAACCCATTAACAAGGGAATTATCATAGCACAATAAACAACATCTAGAGCAGAGCTTTGCACAGTAGTGTGGCTTGGTATTTTCCTACCTGAAATGTGAGGGGTTAACATCCCTTAGAAGATAATGTACATAATGTTTATCTGTAGAGTCCTCAAATTTGGGACTAATTGGGGAAAGCAAAGCATTCCTTGGAATATCATAATTATGACAGTAAAAAGACATGGGCAAGAGTTTCTACCTTCCTAGAGCCACAAAGGTTCTAAAGTCTCTGCAGATTAAAAAAAAAAAAAATTGAAATCTATCCATCGTGAGTGCAGAAGGAAAAGTGTTAACAAAGGGTGTGGATAAAACCAATCTACATTTACTCAGAGTTAAATTGTGCAAATACCTTGCAAGAGAGGGTTTATGATAGTCTAATGTTTGGCGATTAAATTCAGGAGCATTGGCAAGATCATTCTGATGTTTGATATCCCTGGTTTGTTCCTTAACCATTCATTTGATTGGCACAAATATATATGACCAACTATTCAGGAGAAAGGCCAAGGCTACAGATTACAAGTTTGGTGAGGCTGGTAGCTGTCTGTCAACAAAGGTAACAACCCTGTAGAATTAATCATAATTCTGAGCCGTAAGATTAGAATCATAACCCAGGCCTGGACTTTAATGCCTGGCATATCAACTTCAAACCTCAGGATGCATTAGGGACACATCAGATTACTTCATACCTACATAAGACAGAGAGGAGACTTGCATCACCTGAGACTGGAACATGTCCATCAGCTAATTTGGGCCTATGTGTATCAACTCTTTGAAGAGTTTTAATCAGGGAGTTAAATGTTAAAAAGTAGTGGGGCTACAATGCTTTCTTACTTCACCCTCTTAAGTTGTCTGAATGAAATCAGAAAGATCCGCTGCCAAGCCACATCTTATTCTAAGGCCAGTTTTTTTCTATAGCTGATAAATTAATAATAAGACTAATTTATCTATACGCAATCTACCCAAATGTCCCGAAGTCTTATCCTGGAGACATTATCAAATGTGCTTTGAAATCAATAAAGGCTGCATATAGAGTCAGATCAGAGTGATTTGGACATTTATCTGCCAATTGTAACTCTAGGCAGTGGTGTGCTGTCCTGGTCAGAACCCCACTTGCTCAGTATCAATTATTCCCCCATCTACCACCCAGGTATGAAATTTAATAAACAGATACCTAGTGTACAGTTTGCTGATGGTGTCGATACGTTAATTGGTCCATAGTTAGCTGGGTCATTCCTGTCACTCTTTTAATATAGGGGAGCAGTTATTACTACTCCCCAGTTTTCTGGGATCTTAGCTGTATGGTTAATATGTGAGAAGAAGAAGGCTAGCACTGGGACCCACCAGTTAGAGTTGGACTTGATTAACTTGGCTGGAATGCAATCACTCCTGGGGACTTTATCACACTTAAGTTGGTTCAAAATCCCTTTTAGCTCCTTGCATGTGACTGGAGCCACTGAGTAATGAGAATAAAGGCACCTCCATCACAAAGGCCTCCTTACAAAAATTGGCACCTGGCTATAACAGCATGATATACATCTTACTAGGTCTAAATATGACCCAAAGGAACAGAGAGCCAGAGTATGTCCCTTCTTCCTCTAAGTAAAATCACTGGGATACCCCACCTTCAAGGGAGCCATTCCATCTGACAGTGTAGAAACCTACCCAACACTCAGCAATTTAAATGAGCCTTCGCTTGATTCCTAATTGGGCCCTGGATAAATATATCAATGAAAGTTAAAGGGAGGTGAT